GGTCTGAATGAGACGCACTCTCTGACAGCAGGTGGCGCTTATGAACAGGGTTGCCAGGTTTATGCAATAAAACTAGTCCAATCACGCTTGGAGGGGGTTCCCCTGTAAAAATCGCATTCTGGGGGTAAAAATACACGTTTTTCGGCGGGGATCTTCCAGTGAAATTCACATTCCAGGGTAGGGATGGGCGATATGGGCTTACACATATCCATATCAGAAGAAATACTACTGACGACGCTCCAGGAAGGTATCCAGTTATTACTGAATAAAACGCACAACGGAGGTAGAGACATTTTAACTGATGAAACTTGAGGAAAATAAACATACGACTGCACAAAATATATGGTTTATCTGTGTTCTTCAATCTTGGGTATTTTTATACAGTAAAATTCACATTCCAGGGGCTAAATATCACGTTATTTGGGTCGCTTCAACCCGCGGACATGAACAACAACCCGCGGCAACAGTGTTAATGTAGCAACTTGGCAACACTGCATATGAACCGACCGCAATATAGCGTTTACTTGGTTACCGCTGTAAAGAAAGCAGAGCTGCGCTTTATACGGAGAAGAAAATGCCATTGCCATCGAAACTTTTCTCAAGACAGTTCCCTTCAGTGATGCATTAATATAACCCCAGAAATGTACTGCATTTTTGTGCTTATTTTACTGTTATTTTCGGGATCTACGACGGGTTGGCGACCACTGTTCTACATGAATGCAGGTGATATTTACAGTCATGTTTGGTGTCATTTGAATAGTCTCAGGGCGTCTAGTACAATGGTCTCATTCTTACAAGAAGTAAACTAAAAGTGATACTGATCCGAAGAGTTCAGAGATATTTGGCTCACTATAGAGGGTGTGCCGTTTCCCGGTGTCTTTCATGCAAATTACTTTCTGTCCCTAAAGATGGTAACTCTACTTGATCAATGCAAATTTCAATTGTTAGTTTCTGTCTCCATTTCGGGGGATGATTGTCTTGGTCTTAAGGTATTTAAGTGAAAACTGCAAGAAGATCAGGGCGATTCTGTAGCCGGAATGGGCCCGTCATACGATGTATTTTTCTCAAGTCAGGTATGAATACTCTTAGATTCATCTTTGAGAATTTGATGTTTTGTATTGATTTGATATCTTTGAATTGGCTGTATAATTGGCATAATACCTATTTACCTGACTGATAATAAATAGTTACATTTGATTTTATTCTGACTTACTCTGAAATTATTTTCTCAAGTAGATTACGTTGTATCCTTGTTACCGCATTTCCTGCGTCAGGTTAGTAACGGGCTAAAATTCAGTTGAGATGGAGCATAGGGCACACCAACTGTATCTTTAGAGATCCGGCTAACACTTGGTATTAGTTCAAGTGTACTTGGATTGTAAGGGCTTATAGAGAATTGAGAACTGAATGTTGTTCGACCAACCTAAATAGGGTGAGCCTAACCTCTGTTTATTGTAATATTACTCTAGCTAAGTGTACATGGGAAACCATGGCATGACCATACCAAAGCTACTATCAGGGAAAGTAATGTTGGTCGGCTTATATCTATAGTAGTGGTCGTGACCTCTGACTAGAAATAATGTTGCTTTATTCAAGTGTGTTCAAATCTATGGGGGCTAAACAAAAGTACTTTTAGAATGAGCAAGCATAGGAGCGGCCGTCTAAAGTATTAGCCAATTACCTCTGTCTAATAACCAAGACTGACGAGAATGTGACCGTAAGATACGCTAACGGCCGAAGCGATATCTTTGAGCGACATGAGCACCCGAATGAACGAGTAAATATAAAGTAAAGAGTTAACTAGAATAATCAAATGTCTAGGGTTGGTTACCGAACTCTGTACTTTTAAGGGTACCGACCGAATTGCGTCGGTACTACCGAGTACCGATTCATGTTAAATCAGTCGGTGCCAGATTTCGGTACCTGAGAACACATCTGGCCACATACGCTACAGAGAGAGAAAGAGAGACCCTGTGACGTGATATTACCCCTGCAACTCGTTCAAACAACACACAGGGCAAGCCGAAATGTTCTGAAGTGTGGTTACATTTCTAGGGCCATATGGTTTCTGCGAAAACGCGGACGGAATCGTGGAGTCCATTCATAAAAACGTAATTTACTTAAATGGCGCGAAATGCCACGGAAGTCGTCAATTTTAGACGAATAAATCAGAAGTAGGTCTGCCACTTAATTTGAATCGTGATATGAACTAGTGTCTGAATATTAAAATGCAAAAAATATTTTTTTGTTCAAATATGAATCCTGCATGTTCCGCTTGCCTCAGTATGTATGAATGGCGGAAACGTGGTTTTGTTTACTAAACAAATACTGAAGCACGCGTGACGCTCGTGGTGATTTTTGGCCTCTGCGTCTATGGAAGTAAAAAAATGCCGTATGTCTTTGAAACAAAAAAGCATGTTGAATAGCACTAACTGAAAAAATAATGCATTGCATTAACAGTGCTTGCATTTTAATGCCTTGTATTTCCAGGACTTGCATTTTTAGGTCCTGAAATTTAACATGGTTGTTCATTTAAGCTATGAATATTTCAATTCAAAATATTTCACACACGTTTTCATAGTAAAAAATTCAATAATTCATATTCATCTTCCAGAATTCACTTCCAAAATATTCAATCTGTTTAAAAATACAATGTATAATATTCGACAGGCAAATTTCGGTCCATTTTTATTTCACTTTCCAAATTCGCTTCCACAAATTCAGTGGTTAAAATTCGACAGATAATTCGGCATTGCACATCCGGGATCTGCAGGAATAGCAGTAGAGCACCGATGCATGATCTCCACCGGCAGGTGGCGCAAGGGGCTGAGGTGGCGCAAGCGGCTGTTGATGAAGACCAAAGCAACAAGTGGATTAAGTCATTCATTTACAAAAACAGAACTGCAGAAATGGAGCAAACGCTAAGTAGACGTTTTGATTATCTGGGCCAGTATAAACATGTGGAAAAGCTGATTGTGTGTATGTTTAATTCAACATCTTCAGAATACACTTCATTGATGATTATGCGAACTATATCGACAGTTAAGCAGATGTTG